CTAACTGGTGTATTTTTTCTCAAATATGCCATTTACTGCAAAAATTCGTCACGCACCCTGTAATATAATCTAATCTAATCTAATACAAACGCAGCCAGTACGAGAAAGCATCCTGGAAAATGATTAGTTTAGATGAGGTTTAATAATTTTTCTTGCCTAATTGATGTTTACAGCATATCTGAGATATGATATAAACATCAATACGGCCAGGCCTACTGCGTTGTATTTGCCGCAAAGATGATTCTTGGAAATGTGTGGGAACATTTCTTGAATCTACAGGGGTGGAAGGATGCGTGGACATACCGTTCCAAACGCTCCGAGTTACTATGTGTAGTTGTGTGTAATGTGTAAATATTTGTACAATATTGAAGAATCATAAAATAATGCAATGGAAGGATCTTACCGAATTTTCTCCTATGTTGGTAATGATTCTATTGCGCTTAAAAGTTTCGTTGGATGCATCCGCTCCTCCGGATACTTTTGCAGGATAATCTTCCTTCGACTGTCGTGTGGTTCCTCGGTGTAACACCACTCGAAATCCGTCCTGGACACGTGCTGGCCCATTGCGGTCACTTCTTGATTGCTTGGGAAATACTCCCAAAATGAAAAAAAAAATCCGCATTTCACAACACTGCTTCACGTAGAATAGTGAAGACGTTCAAAAGTAAAAGTACACCGCCCGGCTGCAGTATCGATGATACCAACCTGGAATTATCCTTAGCTCGGACATAAAAGCAACAATCAATACGAAACTAACGATTTTAAATTGGCTCACTACTTGACTAGCCTATTGGTCCCAAGCAAACGATTAACGTACCTCATTCTAGTCGAAATTCTAGTACTACGCAATGTTTTTTTTGATTCGCTATGAAGGTTTGACAGATAAAATGAGGGGTTAATGGATTTTACTATGTTTCGAGGGGTGAATCGATTAGCTTGGGACCGAAAGAGTACCACACGGTAAGAAAAAAGTACCCAAAATTGAGTTCCTTTCACTCAACACGTGGCTTCCGTGGGGCTAGGTAAAATTAAGTTAAAGAAGAAAACTCAATTTTGAGTAATCCTAATCATGAATCCACGTTGACCAAGTTGACAAAAAAATAATAAAAAGGAGCACACTGGAACCGAACCATGGATGTTGAGAATACGGGGCCCGTGTGTTGACCACTCGTCTATCAACGCTTGTGAAAATGAAATGGTTAAAGGCGCATAAGAGCAACCCCAATGAAAATAAACTTATATTTGAGTTCATTTATTATTACTCAATAGTTGAGTAAATTTTAACCAACGCCGCTTTTCTGATTCACTCAACGGCGGACCTCAAATGATAGAACCCAACGTTGAGTTTTTTTGAACTTAATTTTGAGTATTTTTTTTTCTTGCCGTGCAGAGCTGAGCCAAAAAGTTGAGCACGTTATTTCGGGACCTTCTAGTCTTAGAGTTACCTCTATGATAAAAGTCTGCACTCGGGAACTCTAGAAAAAACGAGACGAAAAAACATAGACGAACAATTTGACAAACGGAAAATTTTCACGCCGTGTAGAAGCAGGGCACAACTTCGATCGATGAACAATGAAGCACTCAATCCCTCTAAATTAACATAACAAAAAATATTAGTCCCTTGGCTCCGTTTAGCTCTTAGTGACAATGCTAGATAAACATTTCAAAAGGTCCTATCTGACATTTGTAAACAAATCGAGTTTAATGCTTTTCTGTACTGCAGAGCTCACCATCTCTAAGTATTGTTCTAGAAATTTTAATTATTAATATTCAGAAAATTATAAAAATATGTGAAAAAAAACGTCCAATTTGAAAGTTTTTATAATATCGCACAGCTCTCTGATTGGACCTTAAACATGTTTACAGTCCAATCTGTCATTCAACCAAAAAAAATTACAACTGCTATTAGGACCAGGACGTGTTTCACGTGGAATAGAAAAACTAAAACTCATAATAGTTAGTTGGAAATGCTATACTAATATCAACATGAAGCTTTAGAAATTCCTATGGATCCAACATCTAACTGGGAAGTGGGATATGAGAAAGTTTCATTTACGATGCCTGTAATCAATCACTCTGCTTCTGGTATGGAGTTGACGAATTAATTGCGATTCCAGGAGTACACCAAAGCAAAAGCTTATTCAAGATTCTGTCAAATCCGACATGTGATATTACAAGCGTTAAATTGGACGATTTACGCAAACTGATGCCATATGTCAAGCAACATTCCTCAAATACTTAGTTCCAGAAAAAACAGGAATCAGAGCAATAATACCGTTGTAGACCACTTTGATGTGGATCCCGCTCGGTCCACTGGAGGACAGCGATGTAGATTTGATCGAATAACATGAATGAATGTAAATTATTGATGAACAGCTTGAGCTAATAAATGTAAAACGAATCATGTAGAATGAAAAAAAAGAGTTTGTTTATAAAAATATACCGAATATTAAAAAAATATGGAAATTTTCCATACACTTACATTTTTCCTGCATACAACAGAAAAAAATAATGGACAAGTTCTTATTATAAACGTTATTTACTTAATAAATTGGCAGAATAGTAGTTTTAAGCCCATCAACAATTACAAATAATGATGTAGTTGTAATTATCTGACCTCTAAACCGTATTCTTACCAAGGTCCAAAGTAACATTAACTTTGCAATCAGACCAATTTGACAGGTCCTAACTGATACTGAAAAAAGCCAAAGGTCCTATGTAACAAAATCACTAATTAAACGTGAAAATTATGAATCAAACGAAAAAACATACACTTCAGTCGAATTCTATGTGTTTCCTACACACAAAAAATTATCGTTAGTAAAATTGAAAAATCCATTGGTAGAATTAAAAGTTTTCGTTGGTTCTTTTTGGTAGAAAGTCTTTAGCTTTCAAAACAAAAGTCAGCTAACTGTCAATTCAAAAGTAACTCTTTTTTTACTTTTAAAAGTTGAAACTTTCAAATCGAATTGTAGAAATGGCAATATAAAAACCTATTTTGTTAAATAGACTCATGAAAGGATTTAATTTAAAAGATGGGCAGTTTTATCGCAATGATTTATGTTTTCATCTAAAATAAGAATTCTTTTTAATTCAATTGCTTTTTACTTTGAAAGAAATAAAGCATAGAAATATTTAATTTAATATATTTTAGTTTATTTATATGATGCTGACTGAAAGGGCATGGCATTATGGAACTTGAAGCATGGGAAGCGATTTACGCAAATATACAGTTGGCTCAACAGCTGGTGATGGTGATGGTGGGAGTAGCCTTCCTTTCCGGCAAGTCTGGTGAGGCTGCTGAAAATCAAAACACATCAATTAGGAAAATCGGAACCAAGCAAACTCTTCGAAAATTTCATCATCTTACCTCCAAATCCCGCAGCTGGAGGATCCTTCCGATCCTTCCACTTCATAGCATCACCACGGATGTCTCCATCTTATTATTTGTATCTTACAGAAGAGAAACAAGTGCACCGGTGGATGAAAATGTGGGAAAGTTCAAGAAACTGCTGCTGCTCATGCTAATTCTCACAGCTGCTTTTGTTTTGTTTGTTTGTTTCGCATGTCCAATTTGGCGGGAAACACAGGTCCAGTACTGTCAAAAACTTCGCAAGGAAGAGATTTTTTTTGACAATTTTACAACTTTTATTCTAAAAAATAGACTTTTAAAATTACAAGCCGAAAGTGAAAGAAACACTTTTAAATCAAAAAAATTATTTTACATTTGAAAAATTTCATAGTTGAAACTACGTAATTTGGGAAACTTTTAATTTGATCATGCATTATTCTTAAAGCAACAATTTTTGTTTTTTGTGTGTATGCATTTGAGAATACAAAAGATTATCGTTTTATGGCATTTAAAAATATATTGCTAAAATTCAAATCAATTTTTCTCCAATCAGCTTCAATGACAGATAGGACCTTTTGAAATGTTTTTCTAGAATGAGCATTTAAAATAAACACAAAAATAAAAACAACCGGAAAATTAATTAAATATGAATCGGAAAAACCCGAACCTTCTCCGGTATGCTTGAAACTTAAGACGCCATTTTGAAAATTTTGCAAGATCCAAAATGGCCGAATTTTAGTAAACATGTGAATCATTGCCCACAACAAACAATTACGAAAAGTTCCATACAAATCGAAGAAGTTAGATTCATAAACTAATTTACCATAAATAGTCAGAACTTATTTAAGCTTCTCCGTGTGCTCATTATTATCGTCCATATGGACTCTTGAGAATTCAACTTATCAACTATTGAAAACAATTAAAATACTATTGATTTTAAACCAAACGTTTTTTTAATGGTTTCGATCATTTTTATCTGTATTGTTTTAGCACTTTTTGCTAAAACACATAGGGGAAATGTTGGTTTCGGCACCCATTGACTGTTTTCGGCAACCAAAATTTAAACGTTAATTTCACTATGTTTTCCCATCAACGCACTTCCCTGAATGTGTCCAAACGATGTTTTAGCCTTTCAGCTTCAATCTGATTATATTTGAACGATCGAGCAATCCAGTAATGCTACATTTTTCTTCAAATAAAGCATACGCACTACAAAATGGGGCTGATTTCGAGTTGCCGATAATAGAACAGCTGGTTAACACGCAGTTCTAATGGGAAGGTTGCCGAAGAAAAAGAGGCTGCCGACAATAGTCACACTCACCTGAGAAGTTTGGAGCCTTGTAAAAACGCTTTCAAAACGTTTTGAAAAATTCTGTCGATTGGAATGGATAGAGAAGCAAGCAGCAGATGAATGTAAACAAACAGACACATCATATATGTGCGTGACGCTGAGAAAATGCTAAGAAATGCAGACGCTGCTTAGATTGACAAGAATACGTAAATTCCCCTATTTGCATCTCAAAACAAGGAAAAACCTTCTGGGAAGAAAAGGCTTAAGCTCAGAGAATAGAATTGTGGCTGCGCTAATTTTTCGTTTAATTTACACTGAGATCTTACTTCACCGACCACTTTTCGTTTCTCGTTGCAGGCCAAAAGTCCCGAAAAAGCTAAAGTAGTCAAGGTGGTCCCCACGGAGAACAACGGTTCGTCGGAGCTAGTCAAGCTGCACTGTACGAAGGTAGAGGAGTTGAGCGATGGTAGCCAACCACCGCCGGTTTACTGGTTCCTGTTCCAAAAGACCAAATATGTGTGGGACGCAGACAAGAAACAGTTTCGCAGCGTCGAATTTCCCATCCACAACACGTACGAGCAGTACTTTGAATCCAAGGGGCACCAGGAGGACGCGGACGTACTGCTGGCGGAGAAGACCTACGGAAACAACAACATGGAGATGGTGGTGCCGGAGTTCTTCGAGCTGTTCATCGAACGGGCCACTGCTCCGTTCTTCGTGTTTCAGATCTTCTCGGTGCTGCTGTGGTGTTTGGATGAGTACATGTACTATTCCCTGTTCACGCTGGGGATGTTGATTTCGTTCGAGTGCATTCTGGTGCAGCAACAGCTGAGGAATATGTCCGAAATCAGGAAGATGGGTAACAGACCGTACATGATCAATGTGTTCCGGAATAGGAAGTGGAGACCGATCAAGTCGAATCTGTTGGTTCCGGGCGATTTGGTGTCGATTACGCGATCGCAGGATGAGAACTTGGTGCCGTGCGACCTGCTGTTGATCCGAGGAACCTGTATCGTCGACGAAAGCATGCTTACAGGTAGGTTCGATATTTGGAGTTGGTCGTTTGAATGCGCCTAATCCGTCTCTTAATTTCAGGTGAATCCGTTCCTCAAATGAAAGAATCGCTGGAAAACACCGATGAACACAAGAAGGAACTGGACATCGAGGCGGATGGCAAGCTGTATGTCCTGTTCGGTGGTACCAAGGTAGTGCAACATTCCTCCCCGAGTAAAGGCGCCATGCGAGCACCGGATAGCGGTTGCATTGGATACGTTCTTCGCACCGGGTTCAACACATCCCAGGGTAAACTGCTGCGAACGATCCTGTTCGGCGTGAAGCGGGTAACGGAGAACAATTTGGAAACATTTGCATTTATACTGTTCCTGTTGGTGTTCGCGGTTGCAGCAGCGGTGTACGTTTGGATCAAGGGGTCGGAGGATCCCGAACGAAATCGGTACAAGTTGTTCCTGGAGTGCACGTTGATTCTGACTTCGATCATTCCACCGGATCTACCGATCGAACTGTCGTTAGCTGTGAATACATCCTTGCTGCAGCTGTCGAAGCTGTACGTGTTCTGTACGGAACCATTCCGGATACCGTTCGCGGGAAAGGTACAAATCTGCTGCTTTGATAAGACTGGAACACTGACTAGTGATAATCTGGTTGTGGAAGGTGTGGCGGGATTGAAGAAGGACACAGGCATAACTGCAATCAACGAAATTCCGGAAGCTACGGCGCACGTTCTAGGGTCTTGCCATTCGTTGGTGCAGTTGGATGATGGTTTGGTAGGAGATCCACTCGAAAAAGCCACACTGACAGCCATCGATTGGAACCTGACGAAGGGTGACTCGGTAGTTCCAAAGCGCGGCAAGTTCAAGCCTTTAAGAATCTATCAGCGATTCCATTTTTCATCCTCGTTGAAGAGGATGTCCGTTCTTGCTGGGCACCTTGTCCCATTCAGCAATGAAACGTGCTACATCGGAACGGTCAAGGGAGCTCCAGAAGTGATCATGAAAATGCTGAAAACAGTGCCCTCAAACTACGAAGAGACTTATCTGGAATATTCTCGCCGAGGAGCTCGCGTTCTCGCCCTTGGATACAAGTCTTTCGGCGCTCTGGACAATGCTACGGTTCGTGAACTGAAACGTGCCGATGTCGAGAAGGATCTCGAGTTTGCTGGATTTATAATTATCTCCTGTCCATTGAAGCCGGACTCCAAGTACGCTATCAAGGAAATTATTCAGGCTTCGCACAAAGTGATGATGATCACCGGAGACAACCCGCTGACGGCTTGCCACGTGGCTAAGGAATTACGCTTCACCAAGCGCACCATTGTGGTTTTGACTAGGGACGATTCGGATGATTCCTGGCACTGGGAATCAATCAATCGGGAAATTCGAATTCCTCTAGCCGAAAACCGATCGGTCAAAGAGCTGTACAAAGAACATGATTTCTGCATCACCGGCGAAGGTCTCCAGTATCTGGACAGCGAAAATCATTCCTACTTGCTACAGCTGGTTCAGTATGTCACTGTGTTTGCAAGGTTTGCACCGAAACAGAAGGAATTCGTCATAACCACTTTGAAGCAGCTGGGATTCCACACGCTGATGTGCGGTGACGGAACGAACGATGTAGGAGCGCTGAAGCATGCCAACGTGGGAGTTTCGCTGTTGAGTCATCAACCGTCGAGGGCCGAGAAACGTCAGATGCGGGCTGTGGTGCCGGACGGGGAAGCGGATAAGAAGAAGGAGAAACAGGACGATCGCAAGGCGCTTTCGCCGAGGGAGCGAGCTATTATGAAGCACCGAGAGAATCTGAATTCCACCCAGGAACGGCTCCAGAAGGTGCTGAAGGAGATGGACGACGAGCAGGTGCAGATCGTTAAGCTGGGTGATGCCAGCATTGCGGCACCGTTCACCAGCCGGTCGTCGTCGATCAATTGTGGTAAGTGATTTATTGTTCTTCTTTCTGTATGTCAATTGACGTAATCAGATTGCTTGACTTGATCATAATTTGAGTCTTGAGCAGGTTTTAGTAAACTTCGTCATTAAGGTCACTCATAGACTGAGTTCAATTTTACTCATTTGAGTGACATTTACTCAAATTTGCGTTAGCGTTGTTATGATATACTTCGTAGATTGGATACTAGCGACACTCACGTCTCTTCTGAAAATCTCAGTTAGGATACTTTCAGGAATAATGCTGGGGCGTAAACATTGGTTCCAATCTAAACAAGAGTAACAGAAGCATGACTGTCGCTATTCCCGGCCACGCCCATCTTTACCATAACTAGGGATAGGAAAGGACATGTTGATGTAGTACTTACTTTACGAGAGGCCACCGACTTAGCGACACCCTCATAAGTGCTACGTAGTTGTTGGGTAGGGTATTCGGTTAGGATTCACCTCAAGTTGGCGATACAACCAAAAGTATGTATTGTTTATTTGTTGTTTATTTAATCTCTCGATAGCCGGCTATCGAAAGAACAAAGTAAGCAAAAACGATCCCTCCAGGGTCATCGAGCATCTCATAACCATAACGCTTCGCGACAATAAAGGGGGATACGGTCAAAATTTGGTCAATATCAACTTGACGTATTTCTTTCAATTTTGCATTTAAAAAACCTGAACACCCCTCATTTTGAAGGTGTGTGTGTGTAGAATGTTGCTCCTATTTTGATTTTGGAATTCACTCTTCAGTTGTCAAAATGCCGTCCAAGCAAGAAGAGCAGCGTATCAAAATTTTGCTCGCGCATCGCGAAAATCCGAGCTACTCGCACGCAAAGTTGGCAAAATCGCTAAAAGTTGCCAAATCAACCGTTACAAATGTAATTAAAGTGTTTGGGGAACGTTTGTCGACAGCCAGGAAGTCTGGATCGGGGGGAAATCGAAAACCGGAAGCCGCTGAGACGACAAAGAGAGTTGCCGGTAGTTTCAAGCGAAACCCTAACCTCTCTCTCCGAGATGCCGCAAATAAGCTGGGTGTATCGTCTACAACCGTGCATCGAGCCAAAAAACGAGCCGGACTATCGACTTACAAGAAGGTAGTGACTCCAAATCGCGATGATAAACAAAATACGACGGCCAAAGCGCGATCCCGGAGGCTGTACACGACGATGCTGACGAAGTTTGACTGCGTGGTAATGGACGACGAAACCTACGTCAAAGCTGACTACAAGCAGCTTCCGGGACAGGAGTTTTATACGGCAAAAGGAAGGGGAAAGGTAGCAGATGTTTTCAAGCACATGAAACTGTCAAAGTTCGCAAAGAAATATCTGGTTTGGCAAGCCATCTGTACCTGTGGCTTGAAAAGCAGCATTTTCATAGCTTCCGGGACTGTCAACCAAGAAATTTACGTGAAAGAGTGTTTGAATAAACGTCTGCTGCCTTTCCTGAAAAAACACGGTTGTTCCGTACTGTTTTGGCCGGATTTGGCATCTTGCCATTACGGTAAAAAGGCCATGGAGTGGTACGCCGCCAACAACGTGCAGTTGGTTCCCAAGGACAAGAACCCTCCCAACACGCCAGAGCTCCGCCCAATTGAGAAATACTGGGCTATTGTCAAGCGGAACCTAAAGAAGACCAAAAAAACTGCTAAGGGCGAGCAGCAGTTCAAGGCAAACTGGCTTTCTGCGGCGAAGAAGGTGGACAAGGTGGCTGTACAAAATCTGATGGCAGGGGTCAAGCGTAAGGCCCGGCAATTCGGATTTGGAAAAGCGGAAGCCTAACTGAATATTTTTCCTGAATTTTATACTAATTGAACTTGAAAAAGAAATTTAATTTGATTTTTTAAATAAACGATTTCACCGATTTACACGCGTAAATTTTTGACCAAATTTTGACCGTATCACCCTTTACAGGACTACGTTTCCGTTTGATATGCGAATAGTTTCCGAGGTTAGTGTTCAATATCAAATATACAAATGATGGTGGCGATTAATTGTGCTGTGGAAGAGCTTGGGGTTAAATCCATGATTTTCTGCTCAGTAAGCAAAATCGATCCCTCCAGGGTCATCGAGCATCTTATAATCCACAGCGCTTCACGTCAAAGTACGATTAAGTTCTCTTTAGGTATGTTACGAACGATTAAGATATGCAGGATTCATATGCCTTTTGCGGCCGGTAATCAATTTAAAATATACAAATAGTACTGCCAACGGCGACGACGATTATAGCGAATTTAGAGCTTACCCCTTGCCTAGGATAAGGATCGCAGTAGGCCGCGCTTGAAAGCTGACGTGTTTTTCTATTGCTACGTATTTGTCGTCAGCGAATTAAATATTTTTTGCTTTAAATTTGCTAATTTGTGTTTTAGTTTCAAGTGTTCATAAAGTTATCATTTAGTGGTATATCGTGTTTTGACTGTGTTTGCCTTGAGTGACTCGGTTGACCTTGAACCTAACCTACAAAATCTACGACGCAGCTTCAGTTTCATTGTTCGGTGTTGAAAATTGCCTCCCGGGAGCCCGGTTCTTCGAGTCCAGATGCCACATTTTAGACGTGTAGATCTGTTCTATTGAGAGATTCGTCACCGTGAGCGAGTTTGAACCCGGTCCGAGATTAGCCCGGGAACGTGCTGATAATGTGTCCGTCGCGAGTTTTGGTGGTGATTCGGTGGTCGACGATGCCGTGAATCAGCAAATTTTCCGCTGTCGGTGTCGGAGATTGAGAGCAATATGAAAGATGCCTCGCTGGATACGCCCAAGCCTGGACGGTAGCTGGTGGCCGCGAAAGGTTCCTGGGGAAAGCACTAGACGCGAACCTCCTCCCAGATGACCATGGCAATGCAAGACAATTTGTGTTCGTTGAAGGAAGTATTACGACAAAGGTGAATCACGAAATGAGATGCAAAACGTAGAGAAAAACAAAACTACGGAACCCATGAATTTGCAGGATCAAATTAACATGGTTAGACCAGTCCAAATACTTTTTGCAATTAAAATAACACATAAACTACATATGTGCCAGGATTCAAAAGAACATTTTGAAACTGGAAGTGGTAATAATAATATCCAATTGATATAGGTAATACATACATGCGGGGCTTATTGTAAGTGAAAGTAACCTCGGAATGGGCGTGACTCTCCAGACATTCTGAGGTGGGTTGCTGGGTCTGCAATAGAGTTATCCAGTGGCGTCGCGTAACCTCACTTTTTACCTGTTCAACAACTTTGAAAACGTTATTTAGGGTCATGTTAAATCAGTTTCAAAAGGCATAGGGTCTTCTAGTTTCACTGAATTTTATCCATTTAAACCAATATTGTTTTGTTTGTTTACGTTTTTAGAGTTGTTGAACAGGTAGATTGAGGTTAGGGCGACGCCACTGGAGTTATCACTTTCTAACTCCCGGACTAAAGCTGTCTACAATGACCATAAATGCGACATTGTAGAGAGAGTTCTTCCATAATAACACTGCCGGCCAGTGGGAGTTAGAGGGAATGCACACGAACAAACGCACACACACACACACACACACACACACACACACACACACACACACACACACACACACACACACACATACACACACACGCATACACAGACACACACACACACACACACACACACACACACACACACACACACATACACACACACACACACACACACACACACACACACACACACACACTTACACACACACACACACACACACACACACACACTTACACACACACACACACACACACACACACACACACACACACACACACACACACACACACACACACACACACACACACACACACACACACACACACACACACACACACACACACACACACATACATACATACACACACATACACACACACACACACACACACACACACACACACACACACACACCTCTTGCCTAGGTTAAAGACACCTTGGCACCTCCACATGATCCTCATGTGCATCTATCACGGTTTGCAAACATATTAAAAGTGTATTAGAATAATGACATTAACTCATATTTGAGTAAAAATTTACTCAGTCTATGAGTGACCTTACTCTTTGCAAATTTGAGTAAACGGAACTTAAATATAGCAAATGTCTACGGTCCATACACATTTCCAAAACATTGTATGGACAAATGTCTACGTGGGGGAAGGGACCTCTAAATTTCGATCTACGTAGTTTATTTGCCCGGCCTTGCTCGGGATTCAATATTAGCCCTCTTATCTAAGGGGCTACCCCCTATGACCTCCACATGCCAAATTTGGTTCCATTTGCTTGATTATGTCTCGATTTATGCAGTAATAGCAACAATCAATACGAAACTAACGATTTTAAATTGGCTCACCACTTTAGTAGCCTATTGGTCCCAAGCAAACGATTAACGTACCCTATTCTAGTTGAAATTCTATTACTACACTATGTTTGTTTTGATTCGCTATGAAAGTTTGACAGATAACATCAGGGGTGTGTGGATTCATGCAGAACATGCAGGGGTGAGTGAAATAGCTTGGGACTGCTTGGGACCGTTGTTCTGGTACTGAGTGAGCCAAAAATAATAATGATTTTCTTCGGGACCCAGTGGTCTTAGAGTTACCTCTATGGTAATAGCATAAAGGTAACTCTAAGACTAGTAGGTCCCAAGGAAACGTGCTCAACCTTTTGGCTCAGCTCTGGTACTATCTTCGGTCCCAAGCTAATCGATGCACCCCTCGAAACATGGGAAAATCCACGAACCCCTCATTTTATCTGTCAAACTTTCATAGAGAATCAAAACAAACATAGTGTAGTACTAGAATTCCGACTAGAATGGGATACGTTAATCGTTTGCTTGAGACCAATAGGCTAGTCAAGTAGTGAGCCAATTTCAAATCGATAGTTTCGTATTGATTGTTGGTAATAGTACGTTCAGACTACAGAGTTATAACATGTTATAGCGCTATCTTGATGGTGGTTTCTGTGTTGCAATTATTTGACAACCGTTATAACATGTTATAACTCTCC